AGAGAGAGAGAGAGAGAGAGAGAGAGAGAGAGAGAGAGAGAGAGAGAGAGAGAGAGAGAGAGAGAGAGAGAGAGAGAGATGCTTCTCCGAGGCTGTTGATCTGTTATATTTTCTTATATTTCAAGTTGTGTAGTTTTCAGATGAGTAATATCCGTAAAATGCCGTTCTAAGTGTCCCAGAATCTAGCCAGATGCATTGAACACCATGCCGCCCGCGAAGGAGGGAAGTAACTGGAAATGTAAGGAAACAAAGGACCAGGTGGTGAACGAGAAAAAAAAAGAGGAAAAGAAAAAGAAGGGAAAAGATCCCGGATTTGGAAGAAGTCGTGAACTATCTGGACCTTGGTGTACATCAGCTGGGAAAGCATTTAAATACATAAATACATAAATGGACAGCGGAAAGATTACGGATATAAGAATAGTGGTGACGTGTCTGGATTAAAATAGATCTGGTGGAACCAAAAAAAAAAAAAAAAAAAAGAAAGACGGAGAAAGGAAGGGAAAGCTGGATCAGTTTGTAACAGTGTTAGACGAACAAGGGAAACGGGGTGAAGACAACGCTTTTTTTTTGTTTAAAATTTAAATACTTAATTTCAAGTTTTTGGTGAGAGATTGTGGTTGGGAAGAAAAAAGAACAAAAAAACAGGCATGTTAGTGATTAATGTGTTCGTAGCTCTGACAGCTTAGTTTGTCGTTTTGTGCTCAGGTGATTCTGCCACTGAGGCTCTGACAGCTCAGTTTGTCGTTTTGTGCTCAGGTGATGCTGCCACTTCCAGGCTCTGACAGCTTAGTTTGTCGTTTTGTGCTCAGGTGATTCGGCCACTGACAGGCTCTGACAGCTCAGTTTGTCGTTTTGTGCTCAGGTGATTCTGCCACTGACAGGCTCAGGTCAGATTCGCACTCTGCACCAGCGGACGCAGCAGCAGCAGCAGCATTGGATCGGGATCGGGGTACACGATCGGCGGATCCGAAAAAGCCATCAGGTCTGGTGACCATGTTCGCGTGTAATCGTAGCAGTCCACGTCATCATCGTCCTGTCTCTGATCGATACCGCCATCATCATCATCATCATCATCGTCACCATCATCAACATTATCATCATTATCATCTCCATCATCATAATCATAATCATAATCATCAACGTCATCATTTCGATGATGACGTTTCTGCCTTGTCGGTGTCCCCGAGGAGCCGTCGATTAGTCTCGATCGAGGGCCTTAGCGTTCTCTGCTTCATCCTGCTTTCCTTCGCCGAGACGGTCGTTAGCAATGCTAATGCAATGACAGACATTTACGATGACATGCAGCTTCTTCGTCCTGAGGCTCACGATTATCACAATCATGGTGATTGCAATAACCATCATTGTCGTACTAATTATAGTAATTACCATTATGGGAAACGAGGAGGAGGGAGAGGGGGAGGAGGAGAACGAGGAGGAGGGGGAGGGGGAGGAGTAGGAGAAAGACGATTACCACCACTCTGGGAAAACGATGTGATGATTGGGGATAATCCGCAGCGACGTCAACAACAGCAGACACGTCAGCTTCAAGATGAATCTTCTGGGAAAGCTGTCGACGACGACGATGTCCACAACCACGTGAGCAGCCATGTCAGCAACCACGTCAGCAGCGACCTCAGCAGCCACGTCAGCAACCACTTCAGTGGCCACGTCAGCAGCAACTTCGGAGAGAAAGAAAGACCTAAGGAGGGAAGTCAACGGCTTGGAAGAGAAGTTGAGTTGGCAAAGCGTCCACGTCAGCAGCACACTCATCGAATTGGTAATCATCGCCGAGCCTCCCTGCGTTTTGGCGGGAATTTGAACAAAACAACGCGGCAGTTGGAGGGTATTGTCGAATTGATTGAGTTGCCGACGCACGATCGGCTGCCACGTCAGCACCTGCAGCGATCCGCGAGCAACGGCTCGGTTTCCGTTGATTGGTCGGCGATTACCTCGTCAGCAGAAGCAGCAGCAGCCGCCACGTCAGCAGCTGCACCATTCCATCCGATCTCAAGTGTCGACGTCACCACGTCCGCCTCTGACGGGAGGGGGAGGGAGAGGGGGAGGGGGACGGGGAGGAGGGGACGCCGCAGTCTCATCAGCGGGAGGCCTACGATAGATGATGATCAGAAACTCCGACGGATCGTTGAGATTGACGGCCGGGATGTGTTCCCTTGGCGGCCTCGGAAGAGGGCCATTGCCACGTCGACGGGCCAACCGTTCTCCAAGTATGAGGTGGTTGATCTCTCTCTGACGTCAGATGGCAGTCTGCTGTATTACTCGGCGCGCTTCTGCCCTGGCTCTGTGGGTCACTCTTCTTCCTCGTCCTGCCCGATTTCTAATGGCCTTGGATATGTCGAGAAGCTTCGAACAGCTGAGATCTTAGCCGTCGATGATGATCATGATGACGCCGCGAGATCGTCGCCGCCGCCGCCGTCCGTGGCTGCTACGAATCCATTCAGCAGGTCGGGATCTGCGACCGTCGTCAAAGGTCGGTCCTTTGCCTACCCTTGGACAGCTGTAAAGCCGCTGCCTTCGCCCAAAGCGCGCCAACCGCCTGCTCCTACACCCTTCTCAGCCGTTAATTCCGTCATCTCCTTCGGCAAGAATAGAGCGCTCCTTATCTTGGACGTTGGCGGGATATCCATTGCGGTTAATCGAAACAGGACCCCAATCGTCCCCATGGATGTCGACGTGACCGGGATGGGCCCGTTGACTTCGATGGCGGCGGCGGCCGGTCTGGATCCTTTCCTCACTCTGGGAGATGCCGCGGATCTCAGTCACCCCGCACGGACATCCTCCTCCTCCTCCTCCTCCTCCTCCTATTCTAAATCCGGATCCCGACTCTTCATCGGGACGGCCAATCGGGGAATCTACACCATCGATCTAACGGAGCCGCGCCGCATCGCAGGTGCCGATCCCGATCCCGATCAACGGAACAACAGCAAGAAGAAGACCTCAGTCGTTACACCGAAGCGCTTGTCGTTATCTGCCACCACTACCGCAGCCGACTCGAGGGCGGAGGTGATGACGTCATCGTCATTATCATTATCATCATCATCATCATCGCGATCACCGTCTGCGAATTTTGCCACGTCGGATGCGACCCCGCTGCTGACGTGGCCAATCTTCGACGACAACAGTTTGTCGCCCGACGGAGAGGTTCTCTTCCTATCCGAAGTCGACAAGCACGTGATCAGGAGGATAAACACGTCGTCGGGGGAGGTGGAGGTGATAGCCGGGCGGTGGAGAGAAGCCGGCCACGTGGACGGGATCGCGACAACGGAGGCGCGAATGCACGGCCCAGCTCAGCTGGCGCTGACGTCAGACGGGTGCAATCTCTTCGTCACTGAAGCAGCGGGGGCCTCTCTCCGTCTGATTGCTCTGGACAGACCGTACGGCAGAGGCCTGCAGGTCAGAACTCTGGCTCGATGGAGAGACAAGGCGGGAAGATCGGCCATCGCTGTCTCTGCCGATGACAAACTCCTGTACGTCGGGATCGCGGGCGGATGGATCGTGAAGTTATCCGTTAACAAGTCTGCTTTGCACCAGTGCTTGTCGGGATCCCCGTCAGCGAGCTCCACCATGACAGCGGCGACGCCCCCCCCTTCCTCCTTGCCGTTCCGGTTGCCGTCAACAAATACCACCGAGACAACGTCCACCACAAGTATTTCTGCCCCCGCGAGCAGCAGCACCACCACCACCGGACACGTGTCCTCGTCTTCTCCCTTCTCCTCCTCCTCCTACACACATCCTTCTTCTGGCCACGTACTCAGCAGTGATCCTTCGCCTTATCATACTTCAAAGCCAGATGAAAGAGCCCCAGGAGAAGCAACCACCTCTCCCATCACTGCGCCGGGTGATTCCAAGGTTGCTTCTCCCGCCTCCAGCGCCGCCGATGTCGCGACTGATCCCGATCCTCATGCCGCAGCTCAGCGGGAAGACCAGAGTGCCGCTGCAGGTCCCGACCCACATCACGTGGCTTCTCTGCGCAGCCCCGCTGACGTCGCACGGTTGGTCCCGTTGATGAATCCCGACTTGAGATCCCGTGTTAAGACCTACGAGGCCGTCATAGCCGCGCTCGCGGCTGGGTTGTTCCTCACGCTGCTGACCATCCTCATGATGCTCTCGTACATCTATGTTCAACGGTCCAAACTCCAGAGATTCAATCATCGCCGTTCATTTTCCGATATCGGACGGATACGATAGACACACACACAAAAAAAGGGATGAAGCTGTGCTGCTGTTGATTAATGTGAAGACTATGACGATGACCACGATGATGATGATGATGATGATGATGATGATGAAGATGAAGATGATGAGAATGATGGAGGAGTAGATTCTGAAGAAGGTAACCCATCCATTAACTTATCACTAAAAAGAGTTGGGTAAAGCTGTGACGTTGATTAGTATGAAGACGATGACAATGATGATAATGATGATGATGATGAGGAGGAGGAGGAGGAAGAAGAAGAAGTCAGGCCATCCATGTACTTATCACTTGAATGGGAGATGAAAAAAAAAAAAAAAAAAACGATTGTGATGATGATGATGATGGCACATGAGCTCCTTCAAGTCCGGGGTCGGGATCATGCTCGTTAGCTGGGTTGGGACCGGGACGGCGATCAGGAGTCGATCAGTGCTGATTCGAAGTGGCCGCCCTGTCATTACCCGAGCAGAGGATATTCTTTTTCTTTTCTTTTTTCTTTAAATTCAGGGGCTCTGCGGTGTACTGTTTTAGTCTTTCTTTTTTTCCGTTTTTTTTTTTCTTTTTTTTCTTCCCCCCCCCCCCACAAAAAAACGAAGCTACTCTTCTGTCAACGTAACCTTTGACTATCTATCTACCACTACTCCGAAGTCTATACAAGGGACCCCTACAAGAGACCCCTACAAGCATAGCTACCTCTCACAATTCAGGGGATGCATGTTGTCCCCCGCCCTCATAGGCCGTCTTCTACTTCTTCTTCTTCTTCTTCGGTCTTTTCTTTTTCTTCTTCTTCTTCTTCTTCTTCTTCTTCTTCGGTTCTTCGGTCTGTTTCTATTTCTTTTTTTTCTTCTTGTTCTTGTTCTTCTTCTTCGGTCTTCTTCTTCTTCTTCTTCTTTCTTTTTTTACTGGGGGCCAAGTCGCACTGGCAGCGTTAAGTTTCCTAGACAGCTGAATGTGGGCGTGTTTGTGGATATGTGCGTTTCTGCTGTGCGTTTCTGCACATCTCCCAGGACACGTCGATTCAAGCGTTGCGGAAACTCCGCACTGCTACCGTCTTCCCCCGAACATAACGCACCCTAAGAATGAATGTATGCAAACAAGCTATATTCCCGGCTAGATACAGCGAAAATGCGGGTGCGTTGTGCTCGGGGGAAGACGGTAGTTTGACTTGGCCTCCCAGACGACACGAGTGACACACTGTTGCCACTGGATTTAACATAGTTTTAGGGTTTTTTTCTTTTTTTTTTTTACCCAAAGCCCAGGGTATTGTAAGGGGGGGTAGGGGGAGGTGCAGTGACTGGCCATTGCTCGGCGCTAGCACCGCCGATTTCCCCCATCGGCAATGCCTGCCCACCCCTCGTCACCGTGATGAGGGACTGGTACAGCCTTGCTCTCGCACCACTGCTGTGGTGCCAACCTACCCCGTGGGCTGGGGAGAGATCCGGGTTGGTTGGTGTTCCCCCCTACTACACATACACTAGTGAGAGGATGAGAAAGATGAGTACTAGCAAGAAAAATGAGATAGATGAGAGAAGAATATAGCTTTAAAAAAAATAAAAATAAAAAAAATTGTAGAGGCCAAGGACCAGACCGGCGGTGATTGCTTGTAGCGGCAGCCAATGGTTGGCCTCACAGGATAGGCCACCTACCCTACCCATCCCCAGTTAATACTCCTCGCGCACCCCCTGTCCCTCCTATCCTACCCCAGTGTGACCAGCACTCAGGACCATCACCCTGCCAGTATCGAGGGCAACTTGGGTGTTGAAAGGAAGGAACAGAAGTGAACACAAAGAAACGGCGTACAGAAAAAAAAAAAAAAAAAAAAAAAAAAA